CCTGACTTCCCCCCCCCCCCAGCTCAGGTGGCTGTCCCAACACGGTGCTGGGGTCCTGTGGCTGGGAGCGAAGGGTGCGGCAGCGCAGAAGTCCGCTCTGCACGAACTGGGCAACCTCTTGGCTGGTCACCATGCCAGGTATCCGGTCACAACTCTCCTGGACTGGAGCGTTGCGCCGGGCTAATTGTCAATCGGTGAAAAAGGCGAACTGGAAGCACTGGATGCTGCCAATGATGAACTGCAGGGCGTGCATGTCCATGGTGCTTCCCAGGATTCTTCTGCGGTCAGCCTCTGAAATAGAGGGGCAAACCTTTGTGGTATCGTCCATGAATCCCAGAGCGCGCTCGCGCTCCAGAGCCGTAGGCTCATCCCAGAATCCGTTGGCTTGCTGGATCATGCTCTGCTGTCCAGGGTGATAGGCGTGAGAGCCGCGCACCGTGACAAACGTGGACAGAGCGCGAAGCGGCTGGCCGCGCACGTTGACCGAGACCTTTCCAGGTGCGCGGGCGTGCTGAGCGTTCTGAGCCCGGTGGCCGTGTTGCAGAATGTTCTGGACAATCTGATCCGGCTTGCGGTGCTTGAACTTCTTCTCAACCATTTCGCACATGAGGGCGCTTGGGGCCAGGTTGGTCCACCAATGGCGCTGGCGATGCGCGTAAGAGCCAACGGCCACGGCATCAAATGCGAAGCCGTGTCCGAGCACTCCCTTCACCACGGTGTTAAACTCTGCCCGTACGTCTGCCTGCGGGTGATCGCTGGCGTCAACGTTTTCAAACAGGTAGCCCACAGAGCCGCCCCAAATGTTGTTGATGAGGTGCACGATTCGGATGGCATCGTCGAAGAGCCTGGTTCGCGAATCGCGCAAGCCTAGGGCGTACTCTGCGGCTCGTGAGAATCCCTGACACGGGAATCCGGCCACCACAAGGTCAGGACGTTCCAGCTGGGCCATGTGGCCTCTGTTGATTTTGCTGACGTCGTCTCCCAAGTGGTCATGACAGTCTCTAATAGCGTCTGCGCTCAGGAGCTGTGGGAATAAGGTGTGCAAGACGGCCAGACGCTTAGCAGCGATTTTGCGGGTCTTGGCGTCAATCTCGCAGGCATACACCTTTCTGACGGTAACTCCCTGCCGAAGCAACGCCTCGGTAGTGGCCATGAGGCCAGAAAACAACTCAACGACTACGATGCCTGGGCCAGGTGTGGCCAGCACGTCCTTCTTGTCAACGAATGACGTGTTCAACGGCTTCAAGTGCCGGTAAGCTGGGTTGCTGATCACGGGCGGCTTTCGTTCTGGAATAGCCAGTGCCCGAATGCTGCGGTCAAAGATCTCAGTAATCTCAGTTAGCAGCTTTGTCTGATGGTCAGCAAGGCGCGCAAGCGCCACTGCGACGTCCTCCGCATTGCGCGGGCTCTTTACAACGGGTACGATGAATCCCGTGTAAGCGTTAAGTGCCTGGTATGCCTGCAGCGGCGACCTGGCATAGTCGATGGGAAACTGGCACGGCAAGAAGCACTTGCGCACCGTCTGGTCCTCCTCGATGTAGTATTTGACGCGTTTCTTGCGCATATCGGGAGTGAGCTCGGCCGGTCCTATGACACTCATACCGATCAGAGTG